GATTTTTAACTTTCTATCTACATATAATTGGTAATCAAGATATGACCCTTCCTTTCTTTTTCTCACATCAGTTAACAAAACAGAGTCACCACAGTGTCCTCTGTACAGTGTGACTTTGCATGGGTGGTGCCTGTGAAGTCATGATGGCAGGGTCAGGATGAAGCCAACGAGGGTGGGCCCATCCTATTCCAGAAGTTCTGTAATGTCCAGTAGTCTGGGGATGTGTCAGTGGCCACCCTACTTGTCTACACAGGGGATTTAAACTGGCTTAAGTTGAGTTAATTTGATTTAAAAATGTATGTGCACACATACCACAATCCTTCCCAGCACACTAATTCTGCATTCATGGAGAACTCTGGAGTCCTCTTGCAAAGTGGATCCCCATGTTGCGAATAAAGTTCCATCCGTCTATTGTTTGAGTGCACACAATCCTGCTGCACACCACTTTGGCAGTACTCCAATAGCTATCCCACACTGCTTTGCAGGGAACTGTTATTGACCTGTTTACCTGCATGTCCTCTGGTGTCTACTTCCCAGGATGACCCATCCCCCATTTAAAAGTTGGGATGGGGCCAAATTTTGCCCATTTCCTCCTGGGTTTGAGTGTCTCACTGTTGCTGTAATATTACCCCAGGATCCCTACAACACTCCTTGAGCAGCCTCTGGGAGCCGCGCTGAGACCGGGATCTCAGCGACGTTGGGGAAGAAGCGTTGGTTCAGGAAGCTCTTGTAGCCAGTCACTGCGATAGAGATCTGTCTGTGGTGTCACTGAGGGGCCGTGACTGGGATGCTGACCAGGGCCTGATAAAGGAATTTACATCCCTGTTACACACAGTGACCAGCACAAGAGAGACCTTTATCTGCACTGATAGGGCCCCACTCAGCGTTACCTGGCAGGGCTGTGTCTTTGCAATTAGGGGAGTGGGTTTGGGGGATTCCCAGGTCCTCTTAGGGGCATTAATGGGGTTATCTGACTCCGAGATGGGAACCTCCCGGCATTTCCTGCCCTGGGGGAGTCTCTGTCCAAGGAGGGGAGTGAAACAGCCCCAGGGGCCAGTGCGGAGACAGGAGTGAGAGCGCCGGGGCCCTGCTGTACGGGATGCTCTGCGCTACAGACTCAGCCGTTTGGGGGAGCTAGTCCCAGTGCAATGAGGGGTGGGTTGAGCTGGGGAAAAGGATTTGGTGGCTGGGCCAGGGGAAGGGGAGTGAGAGCCCAGCCCCAGGGCTATGTGAGTGATGGGCCCAGGCTGGGTAAATGGGACCCGCTCACAGGAAGGAGCCCAGGGGGCAGCTTGTCTCCCGTTCTCGACACGTGTTCACCTGACCACACCGCTCCTCCCCAACTCCACATCCTTCACCTGGGCACCTTCCTGTACAACTGCACCCCTAACCCCTCCTTGCCCTGCTCTGTACCCAGCAGCTCCCGCCCTCGGTGCCGTCTGTGGGGAGGGAGCTGGTGAGCCTGAGCTGGGCGAGTGTTGTGCTCGGGTCAGACAGGGGAGGCTGGAAGCAGGTTGGCTTTGCAGTGTTAAAAGGGCTTCATCGCACACACCTAGTGACACGGGTGATTTAGCAGCCCACACACACTATAGGAGTCATGAGATCCTCACAGACATTCACTTTCCTGTGTGTTTCTCTCTGTATCTCCCTTGTGTGCTGAAATGCTGCTGCTGTGTGTGACATTAACCCCGACATTTCACAGACCCAATAGAGATGTCATTGGGATCCATGTTATGTTATTTTTGTTTTCCTGGCTTTAATTCCTGGCCTGGCTGCCTGACAATGAGCAGAATTGGGACCATGCAGGGACAGAGCGGGTTGTGCTGGCCCCTCCCTTGTCATTTCCCATGGCCCCAGTGGGAGGCCAGCAGCAGAAAGGTCAGTGCAGATCAGGGACATGTGCTGGGAAGGGAAAGCCCAGGATGGAGTCATAGAATATCAGGGTTTGAAGGGACCTCAGGAGATCATCTAGTCCAACCCCCTGCTCAAAGCAGGACCAATCCCCAGACAGATTTTTGTCCCAGATCCCTAAATGCCCCCCTCAAGAATTGAACTCAC